TTTTTTTTTATTAATTTGTTTATTGATGAAACATGGAAATTTTAAAGCAAAAATTAAATAAAAATGAAAAATATAGTTTAATTAGAGTCGAATCTCAATTCAAGTTTCGGAAAACTGTAACATCCGATTCAGGAAAACAATGAACGTAAGTATGGAATTTAATTATTGGTGAAGAAATAAATAGCCCAAACAATAAATTAAATTAGAAATTGTATGAAAGCGACTGTAACAAAAAAAAATATATATTATTTAATATGTACATATATATTAGGGAATATTGCTAAATCCATCGTAGCCTATTTTGTGAAATTTATGTTATTGTCATTATTGAGTCCGATAAACATTGGTGCAATTCGGATTCATAATTTCTTTTCAGCAGGCATGCCAAAAATTGGACAATGTGTGATTTAGCAAAAGACCCGAATAACTAGATAAATGCTACACTTCATCGCCGATATATTTTATGAGATCAAATTCGTAAAGAAGTTTCTCGGCCTTTTCGGGCCAATTATGATTATTCAAAGAACGGGGGCTCGGATGAGGAAGCTTACATATTTTCAAACTACTCGCATGGCGAGAACGTTTTACCATGTCGTGCATGTACGATCCGATCACCACCAAAATTTCCGTTTTTAACAAGTCTAATTCCAAGTCCAGTACATCTAAACATGCTTTTCCAATTTTTGCCTTATAATCACCCTGTATTTAAACGAACATGTTTGATAAATTTTTGTGGATAGAATATTTAAATAACTTACTTTTAACTCACTAGGAGTAATATTGTGTCCGGCACTATCGTAAAAAATTAACGGACAAAAGTTATGTACAAAACATTGGCGACCAAAATTATTTAATGATCCACCCGCCAACTTTTTAAACAAACTCCAAATTCGCACACCACTGGGTTCTTCGATATTGCACTCCAATCCTGATACTGGCCGCTTTGCATGTATCGAAGGAGGTTGCTGAACTGAACCTGTCAAGCCCATTTCATCACGAACAGTCAAGATATTACCAAACGGCACCTTAAAAACAAGCACGCATATCAACAATTTTATTTGCGACAAAATTTAATTTAAATAATAATAATAAAAAATAAATTTAAATTTTACCCCAGTTTGGCCCATCCCATTCGACCCTGGATTCATACCAACAAACACAACACGTTTCGGACCATCCAAATACTTTTCCAAGTAGGCGCAATGTATACTCGAAGCATATTCCACAGGATTGTAGACATGAGTAATACCAGGTGGTTTTAAAATGTTTTGCAAATCGTTATTTAATTTACACTCAAGTGTGTAAAACCGACTCCAAATTGATTGCTTTGTCTCAGAGCTTTTGGAATGCAATGTAGTTTCTGGAGGCACAGTAAACACTTTTGCACACTCTTCCGTCGGCTGCGACGCAAGACAACGTTTCTTTCTGGCAGCAAACTGCTGCAATGCATTTACTGTAAGTTTTGAGTCTCCACTAAAAGATGTTGGGGCTGGAATATTGTCTTGCGCCAGCTTCCTCCGTGACATAATTGGAAAATCAATTAAACTCCTTTTATTCAATGTAACTTAATTTTGTCCTTCGCCCGCGAATCAGGTTTGTTTTAATTGAGCCCTTAATAAGCGTTGCCAACAACAGACATTTGTTATTAAAGGCGAAATTAGTCAAGAACGTAATCCTACCGGTACGTTAAATCGAGTCAGCTGACATGATCTGCCTTACACTGCGTTTACATAAGACAATTTGAGACAAGACAATTGAGAATATGTATTACGGCGCATTTACAACAAACACGTCATTTTGACATAATTGTCTTGACAATATTGTCCGGTGTAAACCCTAATTTAGTTGTCAAATTGTTGAGTAACGTAGGCGTCCAAATTGTCGTTTGGCGTGAATTTCATATTATTTACTAAAATATCCAAACACAACCCACTTTTTCATAATTCTGTGATTTTTAGCGATTGTGCTTTGCCTCTTTTTCTCAAATTAACCAAGACGTGAAAGAATTTTCCAATTTACTGTCTCGAAAAATCAAAGACAGTTACGAAGACAATTGTCATTGTGTGAGTGTATCAGTGAAAAGCTGTGAATGTATTGCTATTGTCTTGGCAAAATTGTCTCATGTAAACGCCGGATTACCAGAGCGCCATGTAAAGAGAAGGCACGCCCCTGTTGAGCACTTTTGCCACAATTATAAGGTCGGTGTTATGCAGACAAACTTTTGTTTGCCAAATTAAATGGCGGCTGCTTAGTTTGCTCGGAGGTGGTTATGTCGAGTTTGGCACAGGGTTGCACGTTCATTATGGTTTTCATGGCTATTGCCAACACGAAATGAGAATTTCAGATTACATAACGCACAAAATTTAAAATTTTTGTATATGACAACACCGAATTTGCTGCAGTTTGACCAAACAAAATTAGTTTGCTGTGAGAGTCGCCAAACTCGCTCTCTCCGAGTTTGCTGCAACAACAATTGCACGCAGTTTGCCAAACAAAATTTCTGCATAACACCGACCTTACGAGTTGTCCTTTCTTGTTATTTACGTTCTTTGGTAGCGGTACTGTTGAATGCGCCACCTCTGTCTCTCTACGGTCAGTGTTATACAGACAAACTTTTGTTTGCCAAATTAAATGGCGGCTGCTCAGTTTGCTCAGAGGTGGTTATGTCGAGTTTGACCCAGGGTTGCACGTTCATCATGGTTTTTATGGCTATTGCCAACACGAAATGAGAATTTCAGATGTACATAACGCGCAAAATTTAAAATTTTTGTATATGACAACACCGAATTTGCTGCAGTTTGACCAAACAAAAGCTGAAATTAGTCAAGAACGTAAACCTACCGGTACGTAAACCCGAGTCAGCTGACACGATCTGTCTTACCAAAGCGCCATGTAAATGAAAACTCAACACCGCAGAATTTTTCTGTAGTGCAGAAATCTGCGGAATTTAGATTTTTCCGTGTCAGCTGATTTCTCCTTCTTTAGATGGTTGCCACTTCGTCAGTTTTGCAGATGGTAAAAAAGTTATAAGTTCATATTCAAAATATGTTTAAAATATTTGAAATTTACTATTGAATAAGGTTTTTGTTGAAAACTAAGTAGTTTATATTTAGCTACAATCTATTATAGCACGAAAAATTGTAGTTGAAAGGGTAAGTTAATGAAAAGGCATTGAAGAGTGGCAACAGTGTAGTAAGCAACACTGAGGGCTCCAGTAATCGACAAAATTCTGCGTATACAGACTGCGTTTAAGTATACGTTCTGCGTTCTCGACTAATTTCAGCTAAAATTAGTTTGCTGTTGGAGTCGCCAAACTCGCTCTGTTGTTGTTGTTGTTCTAGCGGCTACAACAACCCCGCCCAGATCGGCTGATATCTCAGTCGTTGTCGTCGAGTTCCACTAACGGCAGCCCCAAGAAGCGTGCAGCCTCTATGGGGTCAGTCCATAGGGTCGACGCCGTTAGGGTTGTGGGGTTTTCCGGGCATGCGAAGAGATGTTTCGAGTCGTGAGGGGTCTCTTCGCATGCCGGACATTCGTTTGGCACATCCGCATTTAACCTACACAGGTAGGAATTTAGCCTGCTGCAGTAGCCAGAGCGAAGTTGGGCTATTGTCGTTCTGGTCTCCCGAGGCAGATGGAGCTCCGTCATGTCAATGTCCGGTGTTTGTGTGCCTAGAATAGCATTCACAGGTCTTGAGTCTACATAACTCGAGACTGCGTCCCTGTGAATGCCGTTCAGGGCCTGTCTATGAGCTGACGGGTCCAGAGGCTGCTTAATGATCCTCTGGACTTCGTCCGTCAGTTCATATAGATGCCTCCTGACGTGCCTCGGCGAGGGCTCCTCTGCAAGCAGCTGTCTATTTGGGTGGCCACATCTGTGGCTCCCTAAAAGAAACTGCTTGCAGAGCATCGTGTTGTGCTCCCTAATTGGGAGCATTTTCGCCTCACCGTGGAGGTGGTCTTCTGGTGACATCAGGAGGCATCCTGTCGCTGTCCTAAGTGCTGTATTTTGTACCGTCTGTAGCTTCGTCCACTGCATCCTATTGCCTTGTATGTTACCAGCAACGTTTCTTTGTCTTTGCCCCAAGTACTGCCGGCTAGCTATTTGCAAATAAGCGCAAGACGCCGCCATTATTAGGTTCATTTTCTTTTTCGATGGTCATCTTATTACTTTTTATAATCAACACGTTGCCATTTTTAACTTTATTTTCTTTTGCGATGGTCATATTATTGCCTTTTTATAATAAGGCAATGTTAAAAAAGAATTTTTCACCATCGGATTAACAGTGAGTTAGGTATTTGCAAATAGCTAACGTATAAACGTAGTAACTGAGGGCTCCAGTTTACTGCGTTTAAGTATACGTTCTGCGTTCTTGACTAATTTCAGCTAAAGAGGGAAAGGAACTCCCTCATACATCCACTGTGAACAAGAAAAAAAGAAGAAGAATTCAGCCAACAGCTGTAAATATAAACAAGCGGCATTCTTCTAAAAATATTGTTTTATTAGTGGACAAACAATTTTTTGTTCATACATTTAAGTTTTGTAATTTAAAAATAAAATTACACAGTAGCTTACTTTCGTCATGGCAGGAGAAGTAACTGTTGATGCTTTGCCTTACATAGACCAAGGCTACGATGACGCGGGAGTTCGCGAATCGGTATAAGTATAAAAACGTAAACATTTAACAAGTATAATTTATTGTGCTTCATTAGGCTCTTGCTATGGTGGAGGAAGAATGTCGGCGATATAGGCCTACTAAGAATTATCTAGAACATCTGCCACCATTAAACACGAATGCATTCGAAACTGAATTAATGGCAAGCGAGTTTGAACGTATACAAAATCGTCAACCTATGGAGACTTTAAGCATGAAACGCTATGAATTGCCTCCACCACCGTCTGGCAAACTGTCTGAAGTGACAGCTTGGCAGGAATCTATAGAAAATTCCATGGCACAACTAGAACACCAATGGGTTCGTGCAATGAATCTCGAGCTTATGATTGACTACGGCATAGAATCGTGGAAAGCATACCTAGAAGTGATAGCTGCTCTACAGGCTAAAACGTTGACACAGTTGCAGGAATCAAAAAAACATATACAGGATATAAATTGGCAACGAAAGCAAGCCCAAACTCATGCTGGCGAGAAACTTAAGACTCTGGAGGCCAATTGGGTACTTTTGGTATCTAAAAATTATGAAATAGAGCAAAAGTGCGTAGAATTAGAAGATCAATTGCAAAAAGCCCGCCAGGAAATCTTAAAATTAAAAGCCCAAAAGCAAAATTATTTAACGAATGGAGATTCATAATAGTAGTACCAAATACTTAACAATTGATTAAAGTAATTATCAGTGTGAGTTAAATTTTATTTAAAATTATGAATTAAATTTAACCCCATGTTTTTAAGTTCCTGATAAATTTCATCACTGTTGGTGTATTTTCGACTAAACTTTGAAGTTGCGACTAAGAATTTGAGTTCCACTAAAGCTAATATGTTTATTTGTAAAAATTCCAAAAATTAAATCAGTACATATTGATAGTACCACGCTAGATGTTATTGTATGCATTTTCATTTCAGTGCAGCTGCCAATCGGCAACCAAGTGCGGTTTGAAATTGCGTTGCTATCCATAATCGGCCCATAAAATCCGGGACCGAAATTTATCATTATGAAGGACTTTTGTTTTAAAATCATTTCATAATAGTTATTTCGGGTTATTTTTCGATTAAAAATAATCGTTATTAATATTTTTCCGATAATTTTAACTCGTTATTTTATGATTTTTAGTTTTTTCCGTTTATAAACGTTATTTTCAGATTTTATTTTTTATACCATGAAAGATTTACATCAGTAACCCAGTCTCTATTATAACGGTTAAAAATGAATTAAAACAAACAAAAATCCAAAATAACGATTTTTTTCTGGTCGAAAAGAATTAAAATCACAAAACAATGATCAGAGATATAGAAAAAATAAAATTCACACAATAACGATTGATAATTATTGAAGAAATATTTATTTATTTATTTATTAACAAACAGCCTACGGCTAATACAATTATTTTTATATATAATAAACAAATAAAATTTCAAATTTACCAGAATCACCGAATAACGGCTAAATTAAATTTTTGACATAAAAACCATAACGGTTACGGAATTATAGGGAAACGATTTTCTATTATCAAGCATTTCCTTGAACACGCTCTCCACATTTCAGTGTTTTTAATTTATAACAATCTTGGTACAAACGAAAAATTAAATAAAATCTGACTTATGGAATCCAAAGAACGTAAATTTATAAGAAGCGACAACTCGTTAAAGTCGGCG